AAGCGCAACGAAAAACTGGTGACAGTCAAGGTTGTCTGCCTTGGCTAATGGCTCGACGACTGTAAAAAGACTTTCACTTTACAGTTTTTGTTTTTGCTTTTGTTTTTGATTTTTTGCGAGTTGTTTTATGTTGTTTTACGCGCTCCGCTTTTGGACATTAAGTTGCACTTGACGCAGTCAAAGTTACTGCCACACACACACACAACTCATGCAACGACGACGACAGCGCCTAAGATATGACTACAAAAGGAAGGCGAGCGGCGGGCTGTGGCATGCCTGGCGGACTGTCTGCCTGTTGTCAAAAAAAAAAAAAAAAAAAAAAAACTGTTCGTGCAACATGCTGCAAGTTTTGCCTAGCTTCCGTTGTGGTACATACCCTTTTGCCATGTTGCAAATTGCAATTTTAATGGGCTACAAGATGCGAGCCATTGCACAACTTCCACTATACTCCACTCCAGTCAAGCACTCTGCCCAATTCAACTGCAACTGCAACTGCAACGCGGCGTATGCGTAATAAATTCAAACAAACCTTGAAAAATATGTTTGCCATTTGGCCAGCTTCTTTTTTTGTCTGGCATTTGACTTATCTAACTTCTCGCTGCTGTCATAATATATCTTCAAATACAAAATGAATTAAATTTTAAGCCTGTGCAGCTGGTCTAAAATTTTTGCTGAATTTAAATTTGAGAAGGGAGTGTTATTTAATTAATAATCATTTTTAATACAGAATTTGAAATTTAAACCATTATTTATAATTTCAATTTTTTTTTTTACTTTATTTATTACATTTAATTTTATACTTTCATTTTAGTTGTCATAATTTATAACTCTACTAAATTTTTGTCAACTTTAAAGTAAAAATAAAAAAATACATATTACAATAATATTTTTTATACTATTTTTTTTTTTTTTTTTTTTTTATTACCAAACTTTTTGACAAAAACGTTAAAATTTGAAATTTTTTTAGAATTCAAAGAAAATTAAATGATTTTGTCTAAAGAAAATTAAATAAAAATAAATATTATCAACTCCATTTCAATTTAAGTTCATATGGACTTAAGAAGTTAAATGAATATTTTGAGTATTCCCCATCAATAAAATAATTATATTTTAAGTATGATTCTAAGTCTTCTCAAAGCTTTCTGCTTTACTAAATTATTTTTGCCTTAATAGCAAAAGTTTCCTAAGAGCTGAGAAGCTTGAGCATTTACGTAATCCCAATTAATGCTCATAATACTTGTATTTCTCTTTGATAACTAACATTTTATAATTTGTATATTATTTATATTTCTTATCGTAAAAAGCGTATTTGAGCCTTCGCCTAGCTACATTTACCTTTAGTTTATGACAACTTTAAGAATGTATCAAATTTTGGATGCAGCAGCAGCAGCAGCCGCGGCAGAAGCTAACAAATTAATTTTTTGTGCACAACGACAACAGAGTCTCGAGTGTGCCCTGAAGGCGGAGTTGTTGCCTTCAAATGAGGCGTGGCAAGTGGTATGACTGCCCTGCCCTTTCCACCTACACATGAGCAACATATATCATAGGCGACGGAACAGGAGCTGCTGCTGCTGCTGCTTCTGCTGCTCATGTTTCGCGTCAGGCTGATTAGAATATAGCGAGACGTTTGCATTATTTATGCCAGCCAAATGAAGGTTTGCGGGTCAAAGGCTGGTTGACTGGTAGCTGGCTGGCATAGGAGCAGCAGGAGCAGCAGGAGCAGCTCCATTGACAAAGTAAGAGCGCACGTGACGGGGCAGTGCGAATGACAGGTGGACCGGAGCGAACAAGAGATAGGGAGAGCCAAGCTGAATGTCAAGCGACAAACAATGAAAATAAAAGGAGCCAGGCACGTGACAGGACTCGCTCCGCGCTCATCATTGAATAACTTATTGAGCAACATCAGCGACTCCTCCAACCACTTTTAATTGCAGACAGTGCCTAAAAGATGCCAAAAGCAAGTCGCGAAATGAAATTAGTTGAGCAGCAGCAGCGGCAGCAACAGCAACAGCAGCCGCAGCAGCAGCAGCAGCTCCTTTAATCCTTTCGATGCCCAGCGAAGCACGTATGCTATAAGGCAACAGACTGCACGCTACAATTATTTTTCATATTGAAACCTATTCTAATTGAATACTTTTCCAATCGTTTGCAGCCTTCTATGTCTGTGTGTGTGTGTGTGTGCTTGGGTCAATTGTTGAAGGGAAATAATTAAAGTTAAACATTTATATATGAGCGAGAGATGATGACGATGATAGAATCCTTAAAGGGTAAAGAGAACTATTACTTTGATATCATTCAACCTTCATGATGAAGGTTTCTTTATATACATAGTAATAAATCGTAGGTCTTATTCTACTTCTACTTCTACTTCTACTTCTACTTCTACTTCTACTTCTACTTCTACTTCTACTTCTACTTCTACTTCTACTTCTACTTCTACTTCTACTTCTACTTCTGCTTCTGCTTCTGCTTCTACTTCTACTTCTGCTTCTACTTCTCTACTTCTACTTCTACTTCTACTTCTTCTTCTACTTCTACTTCTACTTCTACTTCTACTTCTACTTCTACTTCTACTTCTACTTCTACTTCTACTTCTACTTCTACTTCTACTTCTACTTCTACTTCTACTTCTACTTCTACTTCCACTTCTACTTCTACCACCGTTATCTGTCTTCTATCTCTTTCCAGTTCTTTTTAATACGCCTTTCAGTTATCCCTGTCAAAATGTTATCATATTCAAGCAGCATAAAGAAGCATTCAGCAGCTGCTGCCTGCCAATGGCACTTCAATAGGCAATTGAGCTGCCATTTAAACGCTTGTCAAATGCACAAAGAGACAGATAGAGGGGGAGAGAGAGAGAGGGCACAGCGCTGCTTGCACTTAAGCCTTTCATTTTAGCTATCTACAGCTTAATTAGCAGCAGGAGTAGATTCAAGTACAGCAAAACGAAGCAAAAACTGTAGCATACGCTGAGGCGCCACAAGCAGGTAGCTAATTTCCGGTGCCGTTGGCTCAACACAAAAATACTAAAAAAAATGAAAAAATAAATAAAAGGCAGCTCAAAGTTAAGCAGCGCATTTAACGCTTCAGGCTGAGTGTTGCCAAAGAATTTTTGCATACACAACCAAAAGCTGACATCGCTTCGTTCGCTGCACTCGAGGCTGGCAAAGTGCCTGTCGCTTCAGCCATTTAAGCCAGCAAGAAATGGAGAGAGAGAGAGAGAGAGAGAGAGGGGGGGGAAGAAGACTGTCAGCATTTAGCAAACGTTGACTTCAGCAACAAGTGGCTCCTCAGTTAGAGACATGGCCCAGGCGGGGGCATTGGAGGCGTTGACAAAGCAGGACATCTTTTGGGGACAGCCCTGACTGAGCACTGATTGAGTTAGAGTTCGGGTCGAGAGCCGAAGCTGGCTCTTTGGCTGGCTGGCTGGCTGGCTGGCTGGCTGGCAGCACGCTAAATTAAACAGCAATTGCAAACTTTCAGCAGAAACTTTCACATCATTTGTGAGTCTCACTCCACAGATGTGTGTGTGTGAGTGTGCGTGTGTTAGCCAGGTAAAGACAGGACCTAGACATTACAATTTTATTTAGCATATGTGCTAAAATCGTATTATAAAAACGATTTCCTGCACAAAAGACACAATTTTGACCCTGTTAGGCTAAGCAAAATACAAAATATTAAATTTTGGAAGCTTTAAGATATACATATAATAATTTTGCTCAATATAACATTTTTTTCCTAGACTATATCATGATGCCCGAATATAAATTTCCTATAATTTAACTCTTCCACTAACTATAGCTTATAATACACATATACATATATAAGATTCACCTAATTTCATTTTAATAATCAAGTATGATCTCACTTAGTTACAATATATTTGTTTAGGAAATCATGTTCCCCAACTCTTTCCACACAAAACTAATTATTTATGATGTTCCATATCAACACGCTGAGCTGAACTCTTGCTTATCTCTATTTCATATATAGTATAAACAGGCCACATATTGTATTTTAAGCAGATTTGATTTTTGTTGTTTCTGGTATTTTGGTCATTATTATGCATGATAAGAATGAAATTGATAATGAAGCGATTGCAACGGCAACAAAAAATGATTATATTAGTAAAATAGAAATATAGTTCCGAGGCGGGGGCGAATATATAGAGCGACCATATTTATTATTATATATACTAAAGCACAGTGTTTAAGTTTACCTGGGACTTCCTTAATAGATTTGCGAATATTTAGAGAAAGACTAAATTTAAGCATTTTCGAGAAATATATATAGGATATGGTTTTACTTCAACTAAATAATAATAATAATAATCAAAGATAAACCAAATGTAATGTAGAGCAACAAAATGTTTCCACATGGCTGTCATATATTAATTATATATAAAAGTCTAAATAGGCTTTCATGATAGCACACATAGACGAATGAAGAATGAAAGAGAGAAAATCAACGAAAAAGAGAGAGCGAGAGCGAGAGAGAGAGTGGAACACAAAGATTGACATAGAATGCGCGGAAGTATTGTAATTGAGTTATCATCAGCTCTGGCTTCTATCAACGCTCATAATATGAGCTTATTATAAATTCTCGACTTTATGGGCAGAAGAGAAGCAGCAGCAGCAGCAGCATCAGCAGCAGCAGCGACTGCAACGACTGCAACAGCGGCAACAATTGACGCGGACGTTGCAGCAACAATAAAGCCATATGCAGCAAACAGCAGCTGGCAAAGGCCAAAAAAGAAGCGAATGGAAAATGCTGGCCAACAATTGAGATCGCTTATCAGTTGGCGTCTAATTTACGACAATGAGGCCGCCAAGCGAGGCCTATGCGGCACACACACACACACACACACACACACATACACATACTTAATCCGCAATGCTGTGTGTGCATGCAAATATGAGACACTACATACATACACACATACATACATATATGCACACTTGTTTAATGTTCGCTCAGCTTTAATGCGTGTTGGAACTCACCTCGAATCGAACTTCTTGCCATCGGCCAGGAGTGTGCCAGTGTAGTGCATGGTCAGTGAGTCGCCGCTCTTCGTTTTCTGATCACAAATCTCGGGCACACTGATCACATCCACTTTCAGCTCACTGCAGCGAACGCCGCTGAAAGCTACCAGAAGGCAGGAGAAAACAATTGACTTCAACATGACTGCAACAAAAAAGTGGAAAGAAATTTAGTTAAAAAATGTTGTGAATATAGAAAAAAAGGCTAAAAATTAAATGAAAATTTAATATGATTAAAGCTTGGTAAGCTTTAAAATGTATTTCATAATAAATTCCAAGCAAAAGAATGGCCTAGATAAAAATATATAGTCGAGTCTCGATAATTCGGACCCCGCTAAATCAAAAATCGCGATAAATCGAAAAAGAATTATATCCCTCAACAATTTTCGATAATTTGAATTTGTGTAAATCGAAAAAAAAATATATAAATGGAAAAACAAAAAAACAAAAAAAAAAAAAAAAAAAAAAATTGTTATATTATTATTGTTAATATTAAGTATTATTACTAAAACTCCAATGTTAAACACTATATGATTCAGCTTCAATGCTTTCTCTTTAAAAGTCGATTTAAAGTATAAAAAAATTCTTTTAACTTTCAAAAATTACAATTATACAAAAATGATATTCTAAGCAACTCTAAAGTCCGTTATTTTGCAAACATGAAATGAGTTCAAGTCCTCTCTTCAATTTCAAAAATCAATCAATTATTACATAAGACAAACTTTAAGTTAATTAAAGAAGAGGATGCGCAGTGTAAACTTAAAAAACACACAGATACACACACATAAAAAATAATACCAACTGAGTAAAGAGTGAAAAATTGGTTATTATGCAAATGCACAATTCATTTGCGAAGCGCGCAGCAGGTTTTATCCAACTGCAGAGGATTACGCAATGCCAAAATTGCAAATTATTGCAGCTAAATGTGTGTGTGTGTGTGTGTGTGTATTAGTGTCTCACTGTGTCTGTGTGTGCGCGTGCTAGCTGTGCGTATGCGTAATGTCCGCAAAAACGTAAAAGGTGACGGATGACCATTATGGTAGTGGAAGCAATATTTGGATTTCGAAAACACCTCATGTTATATATGTATGTAGTTCGTTTTTGTGTAGGTGTTTTGAAATTGCCAATGAAAGTTGGAAATTTGACATCTTGGGCATTTTCAATGGGTCATTCGTAAGATTTATGCGCGCCTGGAAGAAAGCGTTTTGAAGAAAATGATTTGCAATAAATAAATAAGCTCGCCTATGAATGAGGAACAGTGACAGCAGCAGCAGCAGCAGCAACAACAACAACAACAACAATGTCTAAAGATAAAAACTTTCACTAAATAAAAGACTGCGTTGGGCCCGAGATGGCACCTAACAATTGGTAGCGGCACAATTACGTGGAAAAATACATTAACATTTGGACTCTCTACTACTCGTTACTCACTCTCTATCATTATCAAGCTCACTCTTGAGCTACCCTATGGAAATTAGTTATATAAACTTGCTGCTTGGCTTGTACTTTGATCTCTAAATTGAGGTAATTTTATTGTGTAAGAAATTAAGTTAGATTGATTTTTATAGGAAGTACTTGAAGACAACAACAACAGCAAATGTATAAGATATCATTTAGGTACTACACATTAAACAAAGAATTCGTTTTTGATACCAAGAACTTTTGTGTTTCTTTAAATATTTATACAAATCCCAATCTATTTATAGTATTCTCTATTCATAGTCTTCTCATTCATTGTGTGATTATATGGGCAAGCACAAATCGAAATTTATATAAATATTTAAGAACAGCTGAAGAAAGGGACTCAGAAATAAGTAAAAAGAGAAAAAATAAAAAGTAAAATGGGTAGAAAAGTAAAAAGAGAAGAAAATTTCTCATATGGAACTTGACTCAAATTCCAATCCAGTTAATTTTACTGAACTATTTTATAATATTATAAATTGCTGCTTATAAAATTTAACACTGAAGCGTATGTAATCTTCGGCTAATTGAATTTGTCTTTTCTTCATTTCGTTATTGTTGCTTCTTCTTACTTTTTTTTTTTTTTTTGGTTTTTGGGGCGTTTGCAGCAAAACCAGTTGCGTGTGTTGGCACCTTGTCTTTGGTTGCTTTGCTCTTGTCTTTTATTTTATTGTATTTTATTTTTGGTCTGTTTGATTTGAGCGCTCCGTGCGAGCCTGGTTCGTTGAACTGTCGCCTCTTACCGTTAGGCCGCAGCAGTAGTCTACCTGGGCCAACAATGACTCGACTTAATAATTTGCGGCTAAACGTTAATGAAATGAAAATTTTACAGCTGAGCCGGAGGCACACGTCATGAGTTTTCCATCAAAGACAATAACTGCCAACTAATTAAAACAACAAACGAATGGGGATTAGCTGCACACGACAACAGCAATAATGTACAGCAGCAACAGCAACAACAACTACAGCAACAATTTTGTAGGCCGGCCGGGAGATAAGCGCTAGAGCGTTAGAGCGTACTAGTTGCTTTACATTTTGTGCTCAGTTTCGTTAAGTTTTCTTTTGGCTGGAACATTGCCCTCTTCCCCTTCTCCATTTCTTTTTCTTCCATGCTGACGCGATCGCATGCTCTCTTTCGCCCTATCTCTCTTTCTCGCACTCTCTGCTGCTCTGCTACTGCGCTGACTCTGCTGTGCGCTGTGTCGCGACATTCGCTGATGTGTAAAACACGATGTGAATATGAATGAAAAAGACACGCCAGCTAGTCTCAAAGTACACGCTTTCATTTTGTTTTTGTTTCTAATTAACTGCATTCTTCGATGCACGCACACGCACACACATGTTAACACACGCAGGTTGTGTTTATTATGTAGTCAAGTTTGTTTATACCTTTTCGTTTATTTACTAATGTATTCCACTCAATTAATACCGGATATTAACACGGCTAACGGCACAGGCAACGGGCACACAACTGTTACGATCGACGTGCGCAAGGCAACTGCTGGAATTTTGACGACGACGACGGCGTTTACTATGCTGCGTGGAGAGCTTTTGTGAGCGCGTAGCGTACTCCAATACAGCTACACAGCTCAACCGAAACACACAGAGATCAAGCGTGAGAGCGAGACGCAGCGTCTGAGCGAGAGCGTGTGACGCGGCAAACACTTGTCCACGTAATCAAAGTAACTCGCGCAGCTCTCAAACGGTTTACACTGAGCTACCAAATTCAGACGTTGTTTCTGCTGCGACGTTGATAAGTTTGTATTGTGCGTGAGTTTTTTTATTTTTCTGAGGCAACTCTGTTTGATATAAATTGATAACTGATAGAATGAAAATAAATGATGAACGAAAACAAAGTGAATCAATATGAAACTGCTATTTACTATAAATTACAGATATCTAAAAACATTTAAAATAATTTAATTACATTCTTACATTCATTAATTGTGATTATTTGACAACTTACATATTTTTTATTATTTGTCTAAAAATAAATATGTATATAAAAATGTTGTTTTTAGTTTCTAATAAATCAGCAACAACAAAAATGGACTGGAACTTAGGATAGAGCTGAGAGACACACAACCTGCTCGCGCGTTGTTACAATGTTAACTGTGGGCCTGCTGTCAGGACGCTGTTAGCTACATGCTCGGCATGTTGCCAGCAACATGTTCATGTTGCGCGCAACATTCACATTACATTGTTCAGCTAACAAGACAAGCCACGCCCTCGAGGCGCATGCGCTAGGTCTCAAGGGGCGGAGTTAAATAGCAATGAAATGTAATATTTTTTAAATGGGAAAAACTTTATTTTAAGATTAATATCACCTCAAGATGTCAATTTAAAAAATTTATATTAATAAAGTGCAAACATGTTTCCAAATGTTTCACAATTTTTGTACACATATATTTAAGTACTTACGCGCATTCAAACCAATTTTATCTCCTATCTATTGTCAACAAAATGCCGCACCCACAGATACGAAAACAAAAACAAAAATAGCTAAAGCAGATTACCCTAGGGTGTTATTTTACGCCCCAATGGATGCGATTGCTAATGCAAATCAATTAGGTTTGCTAAACTCAATTTAATTTGGCTTCAGTTCCAAATTTAATCGCAACGCATCGGTTGTTTTACATTGAACGGATTAATAAAAATTGTGGACATTAAACAAAAATCAAACATGCTGCAGGAGCGACAACAGATACGAGCACAGGCATATGCCCTAAAACGTAGGGAACACAGATTTGTGGTCGAGCGCATCGAGGGAATTATAAATCCAGCCTATGAGCCCGATTTGGGTGGGGATGTTAAGTCGGAGCGTGCAGCCAATCAGCGATGCAACCAATCAAAATGGCGAGTATATAACTATAGTCAATAATTAAATACGAGCGAAAATATTTGTATTTTACGTAGATATAATTAAACATTAGTAAATATTTTGTTATTCTAAATATATAGTGAGAAAAACTTTTGATACTTTTTTTCAATTCTTCATTTTTTATTTAAATTCAAATCAAATATTAACCTACATATAATTATAATATAATCTAATGTTAATCTTAGAAAAATAATTAACTTGCATCCGGCTGGGCTTATTCTGTTTTAAATATATTCCATTAATTCCTGAGGTTTTATTATAAAACCAATTAGGTTGTATTATGCACATATGTATAACCTATGATCCTATAAATATATATAAACAAATTTCCAATATAATATCATTAATGTATTTATCTTTCAAAGAAACATTTATTAACAATTTTTGTCAAACTCTTTTTGTTTGATCTTCAATTCGAGCTCTAGAATTTTGCGCTGAACTTCAAGATTCTTGAGTTCCGCCAAATGTTTCTGTTGAGCTCTGATATCAGAGTTACGATAATAGCGGAATTGAGCGGCCAACGATTTCTGAGTACCACTCAGTTCTCTGGAAGGCTTGAAACGGGTTTTCAATAGTTTTTTTGTTAAGATCGTAGTTAGATCAAGCTGTTCGCCATGGCTGCACTGCAAAGATTCTATTCCTGTTTGCCTACAGGGGATAGTGTTCTTGGCAACAATTATTTGTTCATCGCCGCCCTGTGGATTTGAATTAGTGCCTGACACTGACTACTAAACGCTCTCTATCGTTAAGCACCTACCTGATTAAAGTTTGTATACTGCTGCACAAGCTCTCGTATATCCTTAACACCTTTCTCTGTGGACGGTGTTGATTCGATTTTGCAATTATTATCAAATTGGGATTCGGACATGATCTGATCATCATCACCGAATGAGTTCTCTGCATGATGGTGCACGGACATGGTCTGATCTTGGTCAACCACATCTGCTTCTTCTTCAGATTGAATCTCTGTTTTGACGCGAGCTAATAACTTTGCCTGCTCAGCTTCAACCTGAACCAATCCCATCTGAGACTCTCCAACTTCGCCGCTTTGATCCACTAATCGAAGCGAATCTTCGACCAGTGTTGGCTCGGTCTTTACCGACATATTCGCTAGTTTATTGAGTTTCTTCATCGTCTCATATTTGGACTTAAGCTTAACAGCCGATCGCTGAATATTCGTATTTCTGACAAAGGATTTGTTAAAATGAAAATCGAATTTAGTGCTCTCAAAACTGTGGCTATGCTAGGCTCACTTGAAAAACTCTATGGCTATGTCCTCCCAGGCCCGATTCTTGGCGCGCCAGACATGCGCATTCGAGGTCTTCTCCTCAATCTGGTTAAAATATTTTGCTGTCAATGCCCTCAGCACATTCTCCTCTGCAACTGTAAAGTTTGGCATACGCGTACGTTGACGGCGCGAGGTCATGGCTTGATCTGACTTATATGGATGATCTGACTTATATGGATGCTCTGACTTAATGGATCTGTAAAATAGATTAACGAATTAGAGTAGTGTCGGACGAGTTATTGAAGTTGTTGTGTCGCATCGTGTGTCGTGTCGTGTGTGTGTGTGTGTGTTTGTTGTCTAGAACTGAGCTCCTTAGAAGCCCATAACATGTTTAGTCTTGGCTTTTTTGGCTGGCGGCGGTCTCATCTCCGACGTATTCTCAATCACCGTGAATTGACTCGCTGTCAACGTGGAATGCGGCTGTCTGGTAAAGTTGAAACTTTCATCAAATGAAGTTTCTTCGATTTTCGGTGTTTTTAATTCCTCCATATCGATTGTCTCTGGCAGCACTTCTTTGTAGTCGGCATAGGCGGCTTGGTAGCGCTTGGGCAGATTTGTGCCCGGCACCAGTTTCTCATCATCCCCGGCTGCAGCAGCTGTCAGCAGCTCTGTGGGCGGCAGCGATTGTTGCAACCAGGCAGCTGTTCGGTCTTCGTTCGCCTTCCCATCATCGTCTTTCTTTAGCTTCTCATCGATCATATCGATTTGCACATCTCGCGTCAGCTCAAACTCATCCACATCCCAGATGCTGAGCAGGCGTGTGCTGATGAGGTCCGTGAAACGGCTTAGATAATAGGCCGACTTTTGCCATGGACCACGATTCACAGCTTTTTTCTTCTTGATGACTTTCTGATCCTCGTTTGGCTTAGTCTCTGCGGGTGGAGTCTCTGCTGGAGGAGTCTCTGCAGGAGGAGTCTCTGCAGGAGGAGTATCCTCTTTCTCGGCCACTTCTTGACTTTGACTATTTGTTGGCTGCGTTTCTTGTTCTTCGCTGTTCCCTTCGTCGTCGGTCGTGGACTCCGGCTCGGACTCAGTAAAGCCATAGTTGATGGTCACATCCTCAATGACCACCGGCTTCTCCTGCTCCGCGTACCTTTCGTTTTCGGACTTCATCACGTCCCGCAGCACAGACATGGGTTGTACTGTCGTACAGCGGAGTTTCCTTTTCACATGATGACGCACCAGCTCCGCATAGTAGAGTATCGCCTCCTTAGTGTGCACTCCAGTCCGTTGTTCGCGCTGCATCTCCAGCTCATCGCGCAGCGTCACCCGCTGGCAATGAATGTCGCCCACGCTGTTGGCGGTGAGCAGCTGAGCGAAGGCGCCATCAATGGCATTGTCCAGCCTGTGGAACTTGATGCCGGTGGTGCAGCATTTGATGCGCTCCGCCAGATCCGCATAGATGTCCACGCTCACACCCTGTAGCCGTGCCTGCAGCAACGCCTCCTCCAGCTGGGGCGGCTCATAGGGCAAGGAGGGGGACCACATCTCCATGTGGCTCTGCGCCAGAACTCCTTTTAGCTCGCAAACTCGCTGATCACTGGGATTGGCGCTGCTCATCGCCACATATTCGCTGCCCTCGTACGCAATGGCATCCATGAAGGTGGGCGAATAGCTCATCTGATGCGTCCAGGTGACAACGGCACGATCCGCTACCTTCTTGCCCATACAACGCATGTCCAGACAGTGAAGCTTATGATTGCTTGCCACATACAGCAGATTGGGATTCACACTCTTTCCCATACAAGAGAAGCTCTCGCAGTTCGACGAATAGGCGCTGCTGGCAAAGCAGGGATTGATTGCCTCGTTGGCACAGCGCAGGTCGATGGTGAGCAGGGCGGATTGGCAGAGATAGTGGAAGCAGTGCTCCTCGCTGGCGCGCAGCTGTGCCCAGGTGCTTCTTCTGTGTATGCCTTTCAGGATGCACACCTCACGCTGCGTTATGTCCTGCTGGGTGACGATATCCTTGAAGCGCACACTGTGATCCTGGCACGCAATGCCCAATGTATTTGGACTATTCGTGGCCTGGGCCACGCTAATGAAGGGTCCATCTTGGCTGGTGTATCGACTCTGACAGCATAATTCATATTTGCTAGCCTGCTCATGATCATCCTCCTCATCTTCATCCGCATCCTGCACTTCGTCCAGCTCCTTTAGCTCATAAATAACTATATCGTTTAGCATGCGCGCCAGAAACATGTTGCCATGATTCACGCGAAAACTGTTGATTGGCAACAGCTCGAAGATCTCGCTGGACATGTCCGTCAGTGATTCGCTGTGCAGTGGTCGCCACAGTTCCGCCTCCACGCCCACCCGTGAGAAATGGAGACACTGCAGCCGTTCGCCAGAGACGTGCATAGCCAGCGGCTCGGCTTCCGGGCATCCAGCAGCCGAGTAGGACAACAGATTTAGATTACCGCCCGTGTAATAGTAGTCATAGCTGTCCCGAAAGTAGGTATTATCCTGCAGCGCTATATTCTCCGCCAAATCGAACAGATGGATATTGTATATCTGGTTATCATGTTTCTTTTGGCGCTGCTTTTGCTGGCCAGTTAGAGTCAAGTATCTGGACTTGTGGTAATGCACATTGCGCATCCATTCATCATGGGTAGCCGGTCGCTGATGGCACGGCTCCACAATGGGCGTGCTCTGGTTGGACACATAGACGGGCAGAGCCACGGTGTAGGCGCAGCTGGGGAATATATTCAGCTGTCGATCTTGAAAAGAGTTCTGTCCCAATCCTTGATTGAAGGCTGGATGTGTGTGATGCGCTGTATTCTCCAGTAACCCACGCTTCGGCTGCTGTTCGCTGTCCATCCTATTTCCAAACTCATCTTGCTCTTCTTCCTCATCCAAATCGCTCGCAGAATTTCCTGCCTCACTACGATTACTGGACTCAAGGGATTCAATCGTTCCTTGGAGCTTCTCCAGCTGTAACTTTGTTGTATATCTACGAGGCATGATGTTTAAACTAAGTGTCTATCTACGAGTTTGCTTAGATTGGAATTTATTTGTTTGTTAGTGTTTTGGTTTTCGTTCGACGTTTTTTTTTTACTGCAAACCTTTAGCTTGATGCTATATTTCCTTATTTTTCCAGTTTATTTCGTCGACTACAGTTTATTTGTAGTGAAACTTTAGTTTTCCAAGTTATTTAGGAAAATGTTTTCATAGAGAATTCCGAAATATAACTGGCAGTTTGTTAAAATGAACAGCAGCGGGCAGCATGCTTTAGCAGCTATAGAGATGGGTACTTTGATCAAGAATTTAGAGATGGCACTTCAAACCCCAAATATAAACAATCGAAACCTTGTTCATTTATTCAGTGATTTAGTTCATTTTCTTGGAATTGCTTTTCGTGTATGCAGTTAGATACCAAATAATACTATAGTCCAACCTGAACTGCAAAGCAAAAATATCGTTTAAATTATTGAATTATTATTGATATGATAATGCTAAAATTTGCGTCGATAATCAACCGTGACTTCGTATCGATACTTCTACTTATACACCAGCCCTGTTGTCATCGACCTGCAATCGCACCAACTAATTCTAAGCAAAGTCTGCATATTTCTTCACATTCAATATTTGGTCACACTGTCGCGTGTATCATAATCGAGTTGAGTCGTCCGCAGTTTAGTCCAGAAAAGTTATCATTTAAATTTGTTCTTATTGTGACACACAACAACGAATTAGTGTTCAGCAATAAATTAAATTAATCCAATGCAGCATAGTAACTGTGTTTGTGTTTGGGCGTGCGCGAAACAGCATCAAATTATACAAGTGTAAAACGCGAAAAATTTGAACACCCAAAGAAATATTGATTTTTTCATAGAAAAAAGGCCCTGCGAGTGTTGTTCTTATTGTTGTTGTGTTTTGTGCGTGCCAGTTAACTACCAAAAAGAGGAAGGAGAAGAAAAGAAAGGGCAAAAAGCATAAGAATAAATTTCAAACTGCCAAGAAAATCCAAAAGCAGCTCAACAAGAAAACGCGCATCAGTAAATTTCCACAAATTTTATAATAAAATTGCTGCCTACATCCCGTCGACCCCGCCGAACATCATTTGATTTACAGTAACAGTAAAAGTTCTTGTTTTTCTTGTTATTGTTGTTGTCTGCTGGAAGTTCATCACTGAGTAACATAAGCACAACGAGCGTCAGGTGAGTCTTAAATGTCCAGCACGCACACAGTGGCACACCACGCACCCCTACACATACAGCAGACAAAGTGATAATATCAAAAACAGCAGCAACAACAATAAGACACAGGCATTGGCAAATTGCACACACATGCACTCTCACATAACGGGTCTGGCGCGCGATGACCCTCTGCCTCTGCCTGTCAGATTTGCATTGCTTTGCTGCTGCTTCTATTGTTGTTGCAGTAGTAATAGTTGCTGTTGTTGTTGTTGTTGTTGATGCATTTTGTCACTTTTGCTCTTTCTACACATATTACCTCTATTACTATGCCCGCCTCTCGTCCGTTTCTCTTTCTTCGCTCATTCTACTCACAACGCGCTGCATCATTTTCCATCAACTTTATCATTTGCAATCTTTTTTTTCGTATTCTTTTTTCTTATTTTTTTTTTCAATTAACACACTCAGCTCTCACACAGCTGAACTTTGAGCTTTTAGCAGTAGTTAACAGTTGTCTGTTAGTCGTTACATTGCATGTTAATGTTAATATTGTTGTTGCCTGTTGTTGCCAAATTTATCTTCTAATGCATCTTAATTTATTTCTTTCTCATTTATGTTTCCTTTTGATTTGCTTTATGCTGTTAATTTTGACAAACCCCCAACGAATTCTGACGTAACGCAGCCCCAGAAAGCTTCACACTCCCACGAGCTGCGTTATTTTTCGCCCATCCGCTTTTGGTTGTTTGAATTTTATTACTTCTGGTGCTCCATTTGTAAGCGCTGTTAACTGTGCGGCGCCAGCGATAGCGCCTACGTCGACGTCGACGTCGCCGTCGTGGCTTTTCGCCTGCGCCTTCGTCAAACAAGCGTTGCTTTTATTTGACTTTATTGTTTAACTTGTCTGCATATTTAATATCGCGCGTAGGTCAGTTAACCTAGTATTTCGAGTCCATCACAAATTGCCAAATTGCTTTTTGCCCGATTCGCTCTCTATCTCTCTCTGCTACTCCTGCGCTGCTTGGTTGTATTTTTATGTAACTCTCAAATCGATTGCAAACACGTAACAGTAAAGCAACCTGCACGACGCCCCTGTTCTATATTTCTCTCTCTCTCTCTCTCTCTCACTCTTCTCTTTTGCTCTGCCCCTCCTGCAACACATCCGTGCCGCTAACAACTACATGGCCAGGAACTACGTTGTTGACGTTCTCGTTCTGCTCTTCATCCTTGTATGTGTGTTAGTTTGACGTTCGCATTGTAATGAAAGCCTTAGGGTTTTTGCCATATAGCGTGACATTTCCCTTATAGGATTTTTTCCTCTACACCTGTTCGACTTCCCCCGGCGCCCCCCATCATAAAAACACTTTGATTTGAATATAATTTCCACTTGTGTGCTGCAATTGCGACACGAAAGATCCTTGAATTGATTGATAAATTATGTTAAAAAACCAGAGAGGGAAAGGGAGAAATACATAGATATTTTTGTGTTGGCCTCTTGCATTTGGCCAACAACAATTTGCGCTTAGCCCGGTCCGACTGGAGGCATCCACACTTTCTAATGCACACGCATTTGGCAGTGTTGTTGCCTCTGGGTCTGGGCGGTGTTGCCAATGCGATTGCTGTTGACCTGCCAACGGTTGCCATGGCTACCTGCCAAATTGTCAATAACGGCGCAGCTACACGGTCCAAAATGATTGAGTAACATATACCAATAAAGCACATATTGGCTCAAGGCAAAGCATTGACCAGTGGCTCGAGGTTAAAGGGATAATAAAAAAGTTCACAGTAGTATTCCATATGTCAGGTCTTTTGACTAACATAAAAATAATGCATAAGGCATAATAATTTGAAATAAATATATAATATATTATATATATGTGTACTATAGTTGCCATATATTTCTTACAGTGCACTGCTGCAACTGTTGTCCCTTGCATTATAACATTTTACTAATGAAAAGATTCACTTAACAGACTGTTAACAGTGCTCATCAATGTTTACATATTAGCTTCATGATAAAATTTAACTGAAGTATAACACTTTCTTAGTTAATATTTCCCATTTTCTCTCAGTACAAGGTTGCACCTTTTCTCTTTTGCAGAGTCTTTACATAGTATATAAATACCTATATTTCCCATTTTTGCCAATTGGTAATTTTTACAATGTTCTCTGACGCAATTGTAATTATGAATAATTTGCCATAAATGGCACACACTCTCTAACTGCTGCTGCTGTGGCTATAGCTGTAGCTGTGGCTGTGGTTGCCACTGTAATTATCGGAATTGCCAGTGGGGCTAGTGCACTCGCAGGCTTGGCCCAGTAGCCTAGCTATACAAGGCCTATATAATCTACATATAATATAGAATATATATAGTGTGCATTAGGCAAATGGCACTTACTGCCCTGTGCAAGTCATTCGACTTATGACTGGGCTTTGGCATCTCTTGAAGTGGCAAATCGCCTGCAACCAGGCCAAAAGGTCAAAGGTAACATGGCCACTGCACATGTAGGACTTGCCTTTTGATTTATCAGCTCGAAGTAATCAAAATGAAGTTCCCGATAAATCACAGCTAATGTTCACGTATGTTATATAGCCTTAATTAACAGTTGGACAATCCATTGGTCACGACCCAGTTCGTTTTAGTTGATAAGCTAAATTAATGAACACAGCTGAGATTAGAACAATTTAAATGACGTGGAAGCACTGAATATACCCTATATAATGTATAATTATGGAATGCCTTTGTTTGCGTATTTAACTTTAAATAGAAGCAATACGAACTCTGAGCTTAATAGAAGTGTAGCTAGCAAATCGGATATGCGGACTCTAATAGGCAGAAATATAGATATTTTATATAAATAGAAGACAAATTTTGTTTCCATCTGGTCTTATGAAGATTAAAATAGCTGACATATGCTCTTAAAATACATTATATTTTTTATATAACATATAATTAATTATTAAAATAGATTCATATGCATATTTAATCTATTTTAATCCCTATAACGCCATAAAAATTTATAGATTTACATATAAAAATGATAGTATTATATATTATTAGGTAAACAAACAGCTGTTTATATGAGCTATACGAACTCAGTAATTACAAGAAATAATTTGATACAATATATAATTTATAATATATATAAACAATGATAATCCATGAGGAAACCTTAATAATTCGCTGTATGACGCATACAGAAACAAGTAAAACAGGTTTGATGTGTTAATCTATGTACTATATATGAACGCAAAGATTATAGAAGCAAGGTCATATTACAATTTGGAAAATAAACAAGAAATTAAGGAACTTAGATACTAAAATATAATTGAGCTAGGGGGCTCTAAGGCCAACAGCTACCAAATTCGGTATACAATTTCTTCTATAGATAAGAAATGAAATTTTACAAGCTGTATAGATTATTCATTAGGTATCGCATGACAAGACCATTGAACTAATTTAAACTAAATTCATCAAAATTGTAGCCCAAAGTCTTTAGTCAAGTGCTCGAGATAAAATCAACATTTTGTGCGCTTTATTTGGTCTACTTGAATCTGAGTTTTACGTTGATTGTTATGGTAAAAAGTTTTTTGTTTCTCCTTTGTTGTTATAGCTATTATTATTTTTTTTATATTTGAAATTTATGCAGCACACTCAGTGTGGGAAATGTGAAACAGCAGAATGAGAAACGACGTCGTTAGTTTTGCATAATAAATAGATAAGAAACTGTACTATATATACCATACGTATATGTATGTAATCCCGACCGACGACCGTCGAATCAAATGACCGAATGTGTGTTTACAGTTTGGACAACTGCCCAGACCTTTTCGCTTTATGGCTCTCAGAGCCTGGTCAACTGAAAAGTTCGCAATTTGTCTGCTGCCATTTTTTATTGCTAAGACGCAAAATGTTTGCAGTCAGTTTTTTTTTTTTTCTATATTTCATGTCTAGAAGTTTGCGTCATCGTTGAAGCTTTTCATTATCGTTCCTTTATTTATTTATAATTATTTTTTTGTCAGTGTTTGTAGCAAAAAAAATTTTTTTTTTTACTTTTTGAAGTGTTTAAATGAAAGTTGCGGTGGTGTTGACGCACTTAATCAGCTTCCAGCTGTGAAGAGCTGTGCAAATTCCATGTGGCCGGAGCTTTTGAATATAAGAGACCCTCAGGCAGAGCCGCAGAGCCCCATTTGCCGCATAGAACTGGAACTGGGTTAATGTAATGCACATTGCCACCAATAGGAGGGGTAAATAGCACAGCTCAGTGCAGAGCAGAGCAGCGGTTGAGTGCGCTGCAGTCGGCAACATGTGTGCGGCGTTGTGTGCATGTGAGTGTTAGAAGAATGTGTGTGTGCGTGGGTGTGTATGTGTGTGTGTGTGTGACTGTGGTTGACTGGCTTGGTTTTGGCCTGCATATCTTGTTTCAAGTACGAACTTTGACGCCAAAAACAATTAATGCTCGTAGCTATTGTTGTTGTTGTTGTAGTAGTAGTTGTTGTTGTAGCTTGCCTGCTTAATGCTTACTAACCAAAATGAGATGTATGCTTATGTCAATCATTATGCATTCATGATGCCCTATAAACACGAGAGAGAGTATTGCATATTTCACTTGGTCTGTACAGAGAACTTAATAATTAAGAAAAAACGACTTTAATTAGTAAATAACGTATGTTAAGTTAAAGAGCTTTTAAAGCATCTATCCCCCTTGCGAAATTAACATGTGTTAAGTTAATGAGCTGTTAAAGCGCCTGTCTCACTCCTTCTGCCTTATTGTTACTGTAAAAGCAATCAGAGCTTAACATGTTTTGGGTGGTTGGCTTTCCATGTTCAACATTTTCATTGTGATATATTTTGATTGTCATTTTAGATTATAATTTATTCTTTTTTCTTTCTTAATTTATTCGATTTATGTTGATTGTGCCTGCTGCTGCTGCTGCAACTACACTACAACTGACGAATGGATGTTATTTGTATATATCACAAAATATATTTATATATATATGTTATGTTATGTGGCAACAATGGCTGTCTGCTGCCTGCCGATGAATCACGTGTCAAACTCAACAAACGAACGCATTGTTTATATGATTTCTACACCCACCAAAAATGTCGCATATCAAATGCACGCACACAATCACACACACACACAACCACAAACAACGAACATGTGCACAAATTGCATGCAACGCACACTCACATTTACAAACACACACTCTCTCACACACACACACACAGTCAACGCACTGAGAGTTTTGTCTGCATATGAAAATAAGGAAAAGCAGGCTAAGTATATTGGGTGGTGGAGAGACTGACATATGCCAATATACAAACATATAAGCAAAGCAAACAAAAGAAAGTAAGGCAAAAAACAAAAAAAAAGAGAGAAAAGGAAAAAAATAGTAGAAACAGAAAAGCGCAGGCAAACAATGCCGCAATCAGAGGGCGGCTATGTGTCGCTACCGGCGATGAATGGCAATGGCAGCGCCATCTATCAGTCCACCACAGAACCACAGGCTGCATCGCCTAACTCCGTATTTAAGAGCGTGAGGCGTGCCTTTGGTCAGGCGATCAAGTCCTCTCCTGGAGAAAGCGAGGAACTAGTGCGCATGGAACGGCCGGTGGTCATTGTTGGTGGTGGTACCAGGTAAGTGGAACAGTGAAAAGGCACACCGAAAAGCTAAAAGAAAACTTTTTCACTTTACTTTTCTTCAAATAATTGCTGTTGTTGTTGTTGATGTTGTCTTTCATTCTTGTTGCACTCTGCAAATTCATAACATTTACTTCTTTACTTCACCGTTACTTCAAGCACACAGCCATAATTGCGTTTGCATGTGCGTGAGAGCTTTTTGTGTTATTGTTCCGTGCATTAGCATTACTTTTGATTTCATCCAAAAGAGAAGTGAAGTAATTGCACAAATGTATATACATATGTAAATATGTATATAATATGTATGTATATTGCTCACTTTGCGCTCTCTCAGTTACATCACCAATTCACAACATCGACACGGGTGCAACTTTCTTTATATTTATTGCTGAGCTAGCCCTGGCTCAAGGTCGCAGAGTCCGCCTGCAGTTTTGTCAATACCAAACATGCTAAAGCTCTAGAGAGTGCAGAGTGCAAACCCAGAAGTCGCTCGCCGTCTAGTCAGACAATTTGCCGTCGACGGTGAACCGCAATTTAGTCAATTGCTAACTGCGCTTCATTTTTGTTCTATTTCTGTCAGCGAGCTAAATATCTACTTAAGTATTCATATTTTACAATTATTATTTATGCTGATTACCTACACCATCACCATCATGAACATCATCATTATCATCATCATCATAGTCAAGTGTTTTAATTAATATTTCCGTAACAGTGTGACATATCACACTGCCAAACACCTACACAGACTGAATTCAATGAATCTCTGCATACACATATACATAAATATGTATTAGTAATGTAAAGCTCCAGTTAAAGAAAGCTCTGTTTACACTTCAGTCATTGCACTTTACGCTGTGCAGCGTTTCTTGTTCTGTGTGGGTCTCACCGGTCCTAACCGGTTCGCTGCTGTTGCTGACCGTTTCAAGACTGGCGCCTTGCGCTTAAAGCGGCACAGCATTGGCAAATAATACGCGAGTGCACATAAACAGCTGAAGAAGAAAGCAACAGCAAAAATATTAAAGTGCTTTAATAACGGTATGTACTCTGTACTCTTTACTCTAAACAACCCCGCTTCAGAACTTTGCGTGGGAGCAGCGTTGTGCGTGTTAGCTTTGACTTGAAAAGCATTTTTAATGGCTTTAAATTGTGTTCGCCTAATTGATGTACTAGGCTATTTTGAGAAAAGCTATTAAGCGTATATAGAAAGATACACATGTGTTGAGTTCGTGGAATAAATAATAACTTGTTTATCTCTGATTCTAATTCCGTTAATTATTATATAGGAGCTTTATCCGCTACGACTTTTGGTTTTGAGTTGCGTTAGCCTAACAATAATACTTTATTATACAAAATGAAGGTCGATATTGTAGCCTATATATAGCTGATATGTGGTTAATTTGTTTACTGATCAACAATAGTGCCCTTTATATGTATTTAGATTTCATTTGAACGACAAATATATAATATAAAATACTAATTGATTCATAGACATACAAATTGCGTCTATCTCTATACTTCATATATGTGATTATCTAATTATTTGTTCTGTACGATTCTATCTCTCTATGTGACCAGTTGCAGCTTAGAATATTCTCTATCTCTTCTCAGTCTACTATCTTTACATCTCCCTTTCGCAGTATCTATCTGTTTTTCTGGCGTCTTTCGGTCTGATTCTTTCCTATTGCTGTCTATCCTCTAGCATTTCTCTTATTGTCACTTATCTCTACAAGTGTTAATCTTTGCCTTATTATGTTCTCCTTCTCTTTGTTTTTGACTCTAGCTCTCTATATGTCCCTTCGTTATCTGTTATCTAATTGGATTTCCCGTCCATTCAGAGTGTTTTATTAATGTAGCTTCAAAAAATGAAACTTGAGTTGGTATCGCCGTTAGCTTAAGCCCTAATTAATCCTCAATAGCAAATACAGTCGCTAATGTAGAGGCTTTAATGGAATCCAACTGAATTCTCAGTTGAGTCTCTAATTGAGTCAGAACAGTGCTTATGTGCCGCATAATTGTTTTAGATGGCCAAAAAACCAGTGAGCCAAATTACCTAGACACACGGTCTGGCTGGTAGACATTAGCTCTGCAAAATGAGTTTGTTAAGAAGAGTTAGAGGAAGCAGAAGTGTAGTTGGAGCAGGAGGGGAGGAGGGTACCAGTGGGAGCTCAATATTTGTGGCGCCAGTTGTTTGTTGTTGACATTTACCCCGAATGACATTGCGTGACTCATTTATTTAGTTTTACGTAACATGGAAAATGTTTACTATTGTTATTGTTGTTATCGTTGTCGATGTTGTTGTTGTTGTTGTTATTATTATTATTGTACTTGCTGTATATATAGCGAGCACCCATTTTCATACTCAAACTACATTGAAAAGCAACAAAATGTTGTTCCATCATTCCGCATCAGCAATCAAAGACTTTCTCTCTCTCTCTATCTATCTGGGCAAACTTAAACTCAATTCTTAAGTCTCTCTCTCTCTCTCTATTTCTCTATAAATATACATGAACAACTCGTACAAATATACAAACTTAGTGTGTATTTAGCTAATTAGAATCATAATTAAATTTCAACTAATTCAATTTATTTTTGACATTTCCTCGAGGGAAAAAAAAAGAATAAATTGAATTTATTCATTTTGGGCTGTTCATTTGTATTAAACGTAAGCGAATTGCCTCTCTCTCTCTCTATCTCTATCTCTTTCTCTCGATATTTTTTTTGTGTTTTCGGTTTTTTGCTTGCATGCTCATAGTATTTATTTCAGAGACCGCGACAAAACTGGTAAGACACTGAACACCAAGATGCCATCAGCACCAACACACACTGCCGAGGAGGCACATCTGCTTGGGTAAGAAAGAAAACGAACCACCCAATCGAACTCTACTAGCCATATCATGTGTAAGATATATATATATCGCATATATATATGTATATATATAGATACATATGTATGTATATATATATGTGTATGAGGCGCTCTAGACTCTCCCTCTCTCACGCAACACTCAAGTTACACAAGTTTCTTTTGTTGTTTTTGATTTTGACTTTGAACTACTCATAATTCACTTTAGACACTGTGATTTGCCTAATTTCGTTTTACTTTTAACGTATTTGTAAGTATTTTGCATAGCGAGAACAACAAAACCAAAACCTAACAACAAATTATAATTATATATTAATAATAATAATATTAATAATGATAAGCCCAAAGCATCCGCCCTTGTCTCTCTCTCTCTCTCAAATCGCATCTCGTACATAACTTGAATGTTGAACAAATATTGCATATAAAGTATAATTATAATATATTTATATACATATATTATTTAAAAGTTAAGTTATATATATATAAATATTGTTTTTTAATTTTGCAACTTGTAACTTAGTAAATTAGCAATTTAGACGCGTTTCAAGTTTCATTTAAAAAATTGACTTCAATTTTGTAGTCCCACAAGTCGTAACAAGTAGAACTTCAGGATGCGCCCCGCACTGAAACCAGCCGAACGCCGGATGCAAGTTAATGAGTGACCCACATCAAAGACAAAACCATATTAACTATATATATCTAAACAGACACAACTACAGAACTTCAGCTAATTTTTGTATATATATGTATCTGTCTATTTAGCACCATGCCCGTTGATCCCATGGATGACATCGAACTGCGCTCGGTGCAGCTGCAATTCCCCAATGCTCGCGGCTCCATTTTGGAGGCCTGCGAACAGCGACGCGTGCCCACAGACAAGGGCGACATACATGTGGCCATACAGGGCGACACCTCAAAGCCGGCCATAGTGACTTATCACGATTTGGGACTCAACTGTAAGCAAGCCTGCCTGCCACCTGCCACCCACACCTGAACTAATACAGATATATATATATATATATTTATATGTATTTCATGTTGTATAAAAAACAGATGCCACCAGTTTCGCTGGCTTCTTCAATTATCCAGTCATGCGCGGATTGCTGGAGAACTTTTGTGTGTATCATGTAACTGCACCCGGACAGGAGGAAGGCGCGCCCACATTGCCAGAGGAGTAAGTGCCCCAAATAATTGCTTAAGGTGGACTCTTTGCCCTCCAGAGAGCCATCGAGAAAATTATTCAAAATTATGCCCAAAAGAGCCTCAAAAAAAAAAAAGTAAAAAGTATGCAAATACAGCATTTAAATGAATAGGCAAATCTTTTAAATTAATGTGAGGGCGTTGAATCATAATTATTTATGGCTGTACTTTGTTTAAGCTATTGTTAATGTACATCGAGTAGAGGCTGATAGGAAAAAAGTATTGTAAAATCTTTTATAGTGGTTTTTGTATTCCATAAGAGTTCTAGATGTTTTGCGATATTATCGATAACACTTCAGCTTAGTTTATTTAAGTTTGTATTAAGAGACATATTGTATAAACTAGTCTTTTATAGAGATAGCTATATTTTGTATAAGCTAAACCTTTATAAGGCTATATTTTGACTTATGACTGTATTTATTTAGCTACCAATCATAGAGCAGTCGGAGCAAGTTTTTTCTGAAAATTATATGATAAACCTTAATTGCTTCAGCAAAGGCACGTAGCAGAAAGTAATAGAGATTCTAATTGTTATTGAATATTGTTTAGTTAACTATTAGACTATGTCTGAGCATTGGAAAATATCAAACTAATTACCGTTGCTAATATTTATAATTTGAAATTGTATTTGATTCGAATTAAGTGAAGTGTAAAAGCTAAATTACCTACTTAAATTTACTGTTAGAACTGTTAGGCCCTGTATAAACAACTGTAACTTCCGTCTTGATCACACATCATATAAATCAATATCTTCTCTGTCCCTGTCTCCACCCGCATAGCTATGTGTATCCAACCATGGATGAGTTGGCAGCCCAGCTGTTGTTTGTGCTATCGCATTTTGGCCTAAAGTCGGTGATTGGGTTTGGTGTGGGCGCTGGGGCCAATATACTGGCACGTTTCGCCCATGCTAATCCGGATAAGGTGGGCGCCCTGTGCCTAATTAACTGTGTGTCAACGCAATCAGGCTGGATCGAATGGGGCTATCAGAGTTTCAATGCGCGCTTCTTGCGCACCAAGGGCATGACGCAGGGCGTCATCGATTATCTGATGTGGCATCATTTCGGACGCAATCCGGAGGAGCGCAACCATGATCTGGTGCAGATGTACAAGCAGCACTTCGAGCGTGGCGTCAATCCCACTAACCTGGCCATGTTCATCAATGCGTATATACATCGCAACGATTTGCATTTGGCGCGCACACCGCCGGGCACACCTGGCGCTGAGACGGCAGCGACTACGCTGAAAATGCCCGTTATCAATATAACGGGCTCGCTGTCGCCGCATGTGGAGGATACGGTGACATTCAATGGCCGATTGGATCCAACTAATTCGTCCTGGATGAAGGTTTACCTAAAATCACATTCCTTCTGGTTGCATAAATATTAAAGAGTTTTTTTTTTTAGATCTCTGATTGCGCCATGGTGTTGGAGGAGCAACCGGCTAAGCTGGCTGAAGCCTTCCGGCTGTTCTTGCAGGGCGAGGGCTACGGTAAGTGTTAGAATACCACGCACACACTGAACAACTGAACCTCAACAACCTATCAGCTACAAAAAAAAATCTACAACAAATATATAAATCTACAACTAAAAACAATCTACTTACCACCTATTACAAATCTACCTGCTGCTACTCTAGTCAAATTTTCAGTACCTCCCTTCAATTGGAACCCAAACGAATGAGCAAAACAACAGAATTATCTTTAAGATAGAAGAATCCCATACGAATATTCAATCAAATTCAATTCAATTCAGATCAGTTCAGTTCAGTTCAGTTGAATTCAGCGCAGAGAATTGGATTATCTCAATGCTACCCTCCTACCTCCCATTCATCACAATCAAAATGCAGTTGCAATGAACATACTAGAGCATATATATATACCCTATACCTTATAGAGTTACACACAAAAGTCGCCTTCTCTCTTTCCACTACCTAAACTTAAAAACTTAGCCTAAAGTCTCATGTTTACATATATATTGAAGAACGAATTAGTAACGGCAAAGCTTTTCAACCGCTTTCAGCGAGCAAACCAAACAAAAAATCTTTAAAATTGTTCAAAATTTTATATAAGTATTATTGAATTGGACATACAAATTATATATACATATATATATATATACTTATTCGAAAAAAAAAAAAAAAAAAAAAAAAAGAAATATTTGTACGCCTAAAAAAGAAAATGAAAACTAAATTAAATAAATGAAAATTGAAAATCAAAAAAACCAAAAAGTTGTTGAAAATCAAGCGTTTACTTTTATACCATTTTTATTATAATTCCCAAAAAACTTTTTTTTAGTTAGTGACTTAGCCAGGGCGTTGCTTCACATAGACCAGGCCCCCAATATACACGAATACACCTAAATTCTAAGCCAAATATTCTCAAAATACCAAAAACAAATGCATTTTCGCAAAAAAAAAAAAAAAAAAAAAAATTCAAACAAACAACGAAAAAATATTTCAATATTTTCATTACTTTGTTTTTCATTTCTTTTTCCTTTCTCCTAACTGCTTGTTTTTTGCTAAACAAACATACAAATACAACTAAAACAACAACAATATACAAATATATTTCCCCCCTCTCAAAAACAAACAAACATTATATGACACTCAATGCCAAAATACACACACGAAATACCCTGTAAAACGCCTGGCCGACCATCCTCGCCTGCCTCTCGTCATGCATCCATCTAAAAAAACCATATGCACTCGACCTTGGGCGCCGAAACTAACCTCAAATATAAACAAACAAAATATAAATATTTATAAATTATGTTAATCGAATCGAATTTCATTTAATGACCTAACGACGTTTTCGAAACTTGCTGCATCAAATTCGATATATGAATTTTCTTTATTCTTTTCGTTTCTCAAATTAATTTTCTCTTACGAAATTCTGTTATCAATAATGTATGCAATCAATATGTGCAACAACAATAATAAACAATATTAATATATGGTATGTATATTTGTACACACAAAACAAATCACATAAAAAAAAAAAAAAAAAAAAAAAAATCCCTGGCAAATAGTCTCCGAGAAACCCCAGTAGACAGTGGCAAAATGAAAACATGAAAAACATAGTTGAAATGCATTTAGCTAATTAATAAATAAATTAAAATTAAATACATATACAAAAAGTAGGCAATGCTTAACACTCACACATACACACATTCACAAATACCGAATAGTTTGTCATTTGTTGTGCAAGTATTGGTAAGCTTTGAAAAAGCTTGCATACATTTTAGCACTTGAACTCTGTGCGTAAAAGCTTTCAGCCGCAAGTGACAAACAAAATGCGAAACGTAGTTTGCTTATAAGTTTTATACAATACCCTTATACCCAGTAACAGTACAGCAGCTGCTCTCTTATACTCTCTATCTTTCTCTCTCTCTCTTTGCCTATATTTGGCACTCTGTGCCCTGCTTTGTTTTGCTTGTAGTATTTGATTTGTTTCCAGCAACTACACACATGCACTTATATTTTGCTTATACATGAATATACATATAATTTATTTGATGTTTTATTTATTTTCTTTATTTACACGCAATATTTAAAATGAATATATCGTTGCATTTAACAATGCGTAGCTGTTGGCACACTGCAAAAGTTGGCACGCAAAATGTCAGCAGCCAGTCGGAGCAGCTCCACGCAAATTGAGCTTTGCGTGAAATGAGAGCACTGCGCCGCCCAAATTGGAGTTGGAATGGGGCGTGGTCGTGAGCGCGGGCAAACGAGTGAGAGAAATTGGAAGACACAAAAACAGAGATGAAAGCACAGCACGCTGAGACCAAAACACACATATAGACATACATCAATGCAAAAGAAAAACAATAAATAAAACAGAAATCCACACACAGTCAGCAACAAGTTGAAGCTTGAGCTTTTTGAGGCTTTTATATATGTATGTATGTATGTACTTTTGTTAACTGTGATTTTCCATTTTCTTTTCACTTCTGATTGTTGCTTCTTAAGTGTGTTATTTTATTCAATTTATTTTGTATTACATTTAGTTATTACGTATGTATGTATATAGTTGAGATATACATAAGTCTAAATTGTTGTATTGATTGAACAGCAAATGCTGTTGTTTGCAATAAAAGAAAAACATTACACGATATAATTTTTTGTGTATTTATTTATTTTTTCACGTGCCGCAAGAGTTGAGCTGTGTACTTGGGCGCTCGTTGCTTAGACTCACACACACACACAGATCCACACATACAGTGCGTAATTCTATTAAAGCAATAAGTTTATATTTATATACATAAAACATATACAAATATACATACATGACAATGCTACAGAAAAAAAAAAAAACAATATATAAGGATATATATACTATATATAATATACATATATATTATCTAATATGGAGCTATGCAAGAAATTTCACAAATTGTAAGCTTTTGTTGTGTATTTGAATTCTAAATAAATGAACAAAGTCAACGATTTCCAATTCCGAATCATTTGAGCTGGAGCAAATTGCGCAAATTCACTCGCCGCTCTTTAAATCCAATTTACTATCAATGTCTATTTGTTATTGTTTCTGGTTTTCGAGTCTATGTCTCTTCACAGCAGCTGATAAGCAGGTGGCGCCCTACTCTCACCAATCAGTTAAGTGCATGCAGCGCGCTCTCTCTTTCTCTGTCTCTCATCATCATCAGCAAGAACATTTCTCATTACCGCCTCGCCAACATCATCATCAAAAGCTCATCCGCAGCTAGTACAACAAAAGAACAACAACAACAGCAACAAATCGCAGCAACATCCCGTGATATGCAATGGCCAAGCAACATCATCAATGCACTCACCCGAATACACGCACACACATACACACATGCACACACACATAGAACACGCTACAAAGAAAACATAAGACCAGCAGCAAATCCTTAGTACGTGTATAAAGAACACTCATAAAAACAAAAACAACAACAATAACTACAACTACAACTAACATGCTCTCAAAAGTAACGTAACGTAAATAACAAAAGCCAAACTACTACTACCTTCCCCCTCCACAAAAAATATATATACTACAACAACTACAACTACAACACTGCAACTATAACAGCAACGCCGCTGTCAACGCCAGCTAGTTCTCCCTGCGGCACCAAATATCATACGTACTCATCGATATTCTTTGCCAACTTTCGTGAGCAACAGCTACAGGCCGCCCAGGAGCGAGAGCGAGAGCGTCAGCTACAGCTGAGCTTACGCATCGGTAATCGGCTACGAGAGACGGCAATCAATTGCAGCGGTAGCGGCAGCAGCAACAGCAACAACAATGCTAATAATGACCCGACAAGCGAAGACGATCTAGATGCAGAGAATGGAAACGGGAATGGCAATCGGGCATATGTGACCACTGATACATCCGGCACGCTCTACTTTGGCACACAAAGCAACAAGATACGCATCACTGAGAATCCACTGCCCGAGCCGATTAGCTCTTAGATTGTTAAAAGCTACTCTTATACTTATAAAAAACACACACATACTCAACCAAAGAGAGCAAGAGACGAGACAGACACGAACACAAACACACACTGTTATTGTTGTTATGAACTACGTATAAATATACCAAAATACACACACACACACGTAGACACAAACAGCAGCAGCCGCAGCAGCAGCAACCGCGCAGCCGCCGCAGCCTCAGACGCCAACTCAAGCAAAGCTTTAGCCGCCAGCAACTGTGACAGTGTGACCAGAGCAGCCAAGCGCCGCCTGTATGTAGACTTTAGCCCGAGCCGCGCTCCAAGCGACAAACAAAAAACAAAAAATGAAAAAAAAAAATAATAAAAATATGAATAAACGAATTGAGTTAAAACGAAGACACCGCTACCTATACAAGATATTGTACTTATGTTTCTTAAACTATACATGAATCCAATTAAATACCACTTAGTACTCGAAATAACGTTCGAATTTTCCTAGTTTCTGTTTTAAATAAAACTAAAAATTAAAAAATAACAAAAATCGAAATGAACACAAAAATAATTGTATTGCAGAGTAATATTGAAATATTTGTAATTTACACTTTGTGCCTGAGCGTTAAATATGCAAATACACATAGATACTTACGTATGTATTTGTTGTCGGTTTTTAGTTAAAAACAATTGAAATATCAAATATACAAAATGAATACGAAAAACCAAAAAACACAAAAAGATAGACAAACAGAATACTTTACATATAATGCGAGTTTAATTTCTATTTAGACATTATGCAATAAAAATACGTGTATTTTTTGGATGCGACATATTTTATGAAGAGCTTGCTTAGTTGTTGTGAAAAAAAAAATAAATAAATAAAAATAAAAAAACTAATGAAATAAATGAACAAATTACAAGCTTAATGTTAAACGAAAAAGAAAAACAAAAATAAATACATTAACTTAATCCCAAGAGAAAAAAAATAAAAAATACATGTAGCATATCAAAAAACAAGCTCTCAAAATTACATATACATTATAAATATTTAACTAGTTATTAAAAACAAATACAAATATAAATAATTGAAATTCATACTGAATTGCATTCAATAAAACAAACACAAACGCATAAAGGCAACTTAGGTAAAACAAATGCAAATAAAAATAAAAAAATGAAAACAACACATCCACACACACACACACACATAAAGATAAATAATGAACAACTTTTTGCAAATAACTTCAAATTCAATTTAATAAAAGTTTTAGAAGCTTGCGTCCCGTTGGTTTTATTTTCCTACTCTTAATGATATAAATTAGCTTAACTATTAACAGTTAGTCAGTCACTTGGGTTGCTGCATCAGCAGCTCCTTAACCATGCGGAATGTTGCCTCTCGCTCCTGGCGCATTACACTGGACAGCTCCTGCAGGAAGTGCGCCTGCATTTCCCGTTGTTCGCGCAGAAAACGTTCCTGGGATTCCTTGAGGGTGGACAGCAGCTTCTTCTGTCCCTCGCTGATGCTGGTCAGCACCTCGAGGGGCGTTGGCTCTGGCGGCATCTCGAATGAATCCTCAAAATCCTCGCTCTCGGCCGCGGCACGCAACAGATCACAGCTGGAGCTGGAGCTGCTGCCTTCACTGTCGCTCTCCAGTGCCGCCTCCGTCTTGGTGGACACGTCCATTTCGCTGGTGGCCACATTTTCAATTGCGTTTGCTTTCCTCGTACGCTTCTTCATCAATTCGTCGAACATCTCGAAGTGCCGTGGCAGCATCCGCACATTTCCCAGGCCCTCCTTCTTAACCTCTCGATAGCGTCGCAGCAACAATCGCAGCTTGTTGCGCAGCTGATGCGGCGTGCGTTGATAGGATTGCTTTGCCAGGAGGCTCGATATGTAGGCCAGAGTCTTGAAGTTGCGCTTCTTGGAGCCATCCAGAGCACGGAATAGATTTTGCTGCTTGATGATGGCTAGAAAGGCGTCCACCTCGTAATCGGACCAATAATACGAATCCGGATGACCTGACCGAAAGAGTTGAATATATAATCTCAGTCAGATTAAATTCGCTGGTCAACCTACGATTGTTTCTGGATGTCTCCGCGTCGCCTTCGTCGCTGTAAATGTAATCGGATTCGCTGCCGCTGCTGTAGTTCGCTTCGGGCTCTGCGCCCGGTTTCTTCACTGGATTCAGCAGCTGGTGCATGGCCTCGTAGTGCTCGAAGGTGTCGCCGCCGTTCTTGGCCTTGTTGTATTGCCTTCTCAGATGCTGGAACTTGATGCGCAACTTTTCGGGCGCCTTGTCAAACGATCGCTTGGCCATTTCCTTGGAGAGCAGCTTGAAGATCTTGGCATTGCGCTTGCGCAGCAGCGCGGACTGCAGTCCCATGCTGCTGATGATGTCCAGGAATATGTCCACCTCGCCCTCCGCCCACTTGACGCGCGCATTCGATGGAATCACGGCATGAACTAGGGCACCTGTAAGGGATTGAATTGCAATACAAATCGTTATACTCATAGATCTTGTATTAAACCTTCTGATTCGCTGTCCGAGCCGAGGGCCACATCGGCCTCCTCCTCGCCGCTGTCATTGGAGTCCGTTTCTCCCTCTCCAGCGCTGCTCTCGCCATGCTGCAGCGAACCATTGAGCAATGCGTGCATCTCCTCGTAATGCTCGAACGACTCTCCACCGTCCTTCGCCTTCGCATATTGCCGACGCAATTGATGGTACTTGACTCTCAGCTGGTCCGGCCGCTTGATAAAGTTGCGCTTCGCCATTTCCCGGGCGAGCAGCTTAAATACTTTGGCATTCCTTTTACGCAGCAGCGGCGTCTGTAGCTTATGTGTAATTATGATGTTCAGCAGAGTTTCCACCTCGCCATCTGCCCACTTGCAACGAAGAGGCATTTTGGATGCGGAGCCATTCGAACGATTCGTATTATCCTCATTGACTAATATGAAAAAAAATACTATATATTCAACACGTATACTAGCTGATGGCATTACCTACACTCTAGCTGCTGCACTTGCTCATATTTCTGCTCCACTTTAATATCCTCCTCGGGATGCAGTTGTAGCTCCTGCTGCGCTTCATCGTCATCCGTCTCGGGCTGCTGCTTGGGCGATACCAGCTCGTCGCCCAGCAGATCGTTCAGATATTTAAAATATTGGCAGGTACGATTGCGATAACGTGCCATAATGTAATCATTTCTTAATTTCTTAAATCTATCTCGCAATTCCGAAACGCTCCGGCTGTATCCCTTAGGCCAACATTTGCTCTCGGCCATTTGGCTGGCCACACGCTGCCAATCCCATTTGCCGGGTCCGTGCAGCCCTTTAAGCGACCTCATAATATCAATGAGCGCCATCGTCTCGTCTACAGTCCAGCTGTCGCTGTCGAATGCGCTCATTTTGACTAAAACAGCGATTTATTATTTTTGTTTATATTCTTGTCGTTGGCAATTTTGGGCAAAAATAAAATTCAGTGGTTCGCTCAGCTGTTTTGAGCTTGGAACTGGAACGAGCTTGTGTGAACGGAATGGTTTAACAGTGAACTGCGGCTAACATGTTGTTGAACTGTTAACCGCACACACAGAGGAATTTTCAAATTGCAAGAAATGTTGTTATGAGTATTAAAATAACTCAATTGAATATTTAATATAAGCAAATATATATTTTAATTTATATTATAAGTATTGTCTGCTTAATATTAATAGCTGCAATGTTAAAATTCAAATATTTTATCAAAAATGCGCCAGTTATATCGATTTTTGGAATGCTCTGTTATCGATCTAAAGTAACAGACACTTGTGGCATTTGTTTGGTATTGTAGCATTGCGAGCGGGTGGTCACACAGTCTTCAACTGAATCTTATTATTGACGGTCGTTTGGCGCTGACGCTACGTCGTTTTCGGTGTTCGGAGTACGTTAATAACAACTTCCAAAATACAACCGCACAATAATAAAACAAAGTCAATGATATTGGTGCAAAAAAAAAAAAAAGAATACAAATACGTTACACTGTAGCAGCTTCTTCGCGTGCGTAGTTAACTTACATTGCCCAGCGCGATTAAAGTGTTTTTTGCTGTTAACAATTTAAGTTCGTCCCGCTGGCTCTTCTGCCCCGCTCTCGCTCTACCGTTCGCACCGCTCGCGCGTTTCGGCCGTCTCTTTCGTGTGTCGGCCCCGTTAACGCCGAGGTTCAACGCGATCGCCGCTTTTTTTATTGCCATTGTATATTGTATTACTTATTATAATATTCCGTGAATCGGTCGCAACGCTCATTTATTTTTGTTATTTCAACACAAACAGCTTTTCTGCTGAAACATATATAATTTGCAATACAATCGATCCGAAATTCTCCGATTTCGCGAGCTTTTCGCCCAAAGCTCGGCTTTCGCGATGGAGTTGGAGTTGGGATACGCTTGAGTAGACCGCAAATTTTCTCTCCCTTACACTATCTGTCTCTCTGTCTACTTCCATCGTTGATAAACTTCGAAAATATAATTTCGATATTCCGAGCATAAACAAATCGTTGGATTGTGCAAACAATCGCAGTTCAAAATCCATCACGTTCTCATATTTATGCGCTTTATGAATTAAATAAATAATCAAACGCGTGTTGGATACGTACCCGATCCGGAGCAGGAGCTACAGCAACATGTCTATATCTGGCATTATGTTGTGGATGTCTATAGGAGCCAGCTTATTGCTGATCTACAGTTTCGACTTCACATCGGCCTCGGCAACAGCCAACGCCGGCTATGTCGATCATGGAGATACGAAAGGTAAGCAATTTCACAATATCAACAAAAAATACTGTGCTATTTTTTGCGTTTTAGTCATTATTATCTTTATGATTCAAGTACTTGCTAGCAAATACTCTTTTTATCAACTTATTTATATGAAAAATCATAAATGTATATCAAATTTAGTTTGTAAATTATTTTGTTTTGTAAATAGATTTTAGATATGGCTCAAATAGGCTTTAAGCGATTTTTATACCAATTTTATGAGTATAGTGTTATCAGTTTCTGAGCTCAATGAGACTAAAATTCATATATTATAATAGATTCTACCAATAGAAATGACCTAAACTATGGTTTTTATTTAATATATTACCTCTGTATTTCATCTAATTAGTGTATGTTCCCTACTAGTTATGTTCCCTATGTAGGTCTACAAATCCTCAACAGATCTCATTAAAATTGTCTACACACCTCACTTAATTTATAATTACATCACATACCAATTTTGATTATGCTGATGCTTATAGGACTCGAGTTCGGTGGGTCCACGAGTACAGGGTATTTTTCTCAAGGCAACAGATAATAAATGCCAACTGAGATTACAGTGAGCACCCCGAGAGACGGTGCGAGCAGCACAGAGAGACAGACAGAACAGTTTTTGATAAAAGAGATTCAATTCATTGAATTGGAGGAGGAAGTAGATCTGCCGTATGAATCGTACATCTGTTCATTCTGTTGCCCTTTTGTGAACAGGTTTCCAGCGGCGACAGATTTCCCATGGTATCGCAAACAAGGAGCAGAGAGCACAGTTTTCTACCTGTTTGTTTGTTTGGCTTTGCTTTTACTTTGGCATTTACCTGTGCCCAGCCAGGTAGCAGCTAGATGGCCCATTAAGCATCTCTCTTGCCGCAGTCAGTTCATTCTGTATCTTGGCTCGAGTAAATATGAATTCAGTACAGATACGAGCACAGTTTGCACGCTTCATTGCTCTCTCACTCACTCCGCTCTATCTCCCTCTTTCTCTCTCTCTCTTTCTGTCTGTCTTCCACACTGCTCAGGATCACTTTTGTAGGCGCAAACGGCAAGCGCTCTGCCAAAATTTTCTATGCCATTTGCATGTTTTTGTTTTTTTTTTTGGGGTACGCAAAGGGCAGCTCCATTGGCTCCCCTGTGCTGTGTCCCCTTGCCCCGCTGTCCACCCGCTATTGTGCAAAAAATGAAGCAAATAACCTGTTTTAGCTCTGTCTTTGCTTGTGCTGTTTATACCCTGTATACGCTGTAAATGGGTAAGAAACGGGTATATTACTGTCGAACGAGTGCTTGAAGGAGTCAGAAAGTAGAGCAAGAAAGAAAGAGAGAGAGGCAGATGCAGAGAAGCTGCTTAGATTATATATAAAAATATGAAATGCTTTTATTTTTTTATAATTGTTAACTGGTTTCGTTATTCTCTCTGAAAAGATGATAAATATCAATGATTTTCCTAGTGTATGTGTATGAAAGAGTATGGATAAGGTTTTTATAGTTGGAATATATAGAATATTGTCTATAGAGGTTCTCTTCTATCATACGCTAATTCGCATGCTTTCAAACGTTTCCGCTAATAACTAACAAGGTTTCGTAGTTAATGCTACAGATTTTAAGTATTAATAATAAATGCCCCTGTTTAATGTTTAATACAGAAGTAATATATCTATGTTAATAATAAACTTCACACTCAATAGTTCTTCCACATTACAGGGTATCTCTTAGTTGTCTGCCCTTCATGCCACACACTCTTACTTGTTTTTAATGTCTTTCTTGCAAAAACAAACCCACATGCATCGCATCACAGCTATACAGCTCGCTCACTCGCTCACTCTTGCATGCTCTCCCTCTTTCTCTCTCGCTCTGTCTTTTGCGCCTGCGCCACTTGGTTTCGTATATGTTTTTCTTGCTTTTGTTGTACTACAGACTTCCTACCACCTGCCTCCCCGAGCTGCCTCGCCGCGTCTCGTCTTGCCGCTTTGTCTTTGCCAACTTCGTACGCATCTGAACCGTGAGATTTTATTTCATGCAAAAAAGTAGAAGTACTTGGACGCTTGTTGTTGCTGTTGTTGTTGTTGTTGCTGCTGCCACAACTTGCAGGTGTTTTGCACACTCACACATACACACTCATACACACATGGCTCAGCAACAAGGAAACCAGCTTATAAATTATAAGTTACGCTCAGTATTTTTTTTTTGGTTCTGTTTCATTTTTTTCGGCTTTGATTGGGCCAAAACAAGCCTGGTTTGACTGTTTTTCTGGGCCAAGTTTTGAGCTACAATCCTGATGCCTGCGGTTCATGTAATTGACGTGCAACTATTAACATAAATTACAGGTCAACTGTACGAATTCAGCTACTTAAGGACTGGGTATATAATTTTTACCTTAAACTGTGGCATGCCTCGTCTGTTCTTCGTGCTTACTTTGTGTTTTAGTTGTATGAAATTGTCTATCTGCAGAAGTCCCACATTTATGTATATAATTTGCATATATTTTCATATAATCATATAATCGTTAATAATCATTAGCTTTCATTAAATAATTCTTAGTATTAGCTATGTATTATTTGAGGGTTATAGCTTCTGGCTTATGGCACCTCCATATGCACTTATATTAGGCAAATGCTTTCTAAATTTCGTAGCTCCCCTATCATTTTCTATTATTCCTTTATTATCTTTATTAAACAGTCTTTGATTTATTCTGTTACTATCTACTCCAATAAAATCTCTATCACACAAATAGTCATAACACTCCAACACCCACCTCATCGGGACTTTACCCATTACTCAAAGTTTCTTTTGAACTATTGCAAGCTGCCTCCTATCTATAGAATTATAAACGTGCTGAAACCTAATGCAATGCATATAGAACCCTGATCCCATTTATCAATGTGCAATATGGAATGAAAACTCATCGTGACTTGGGATTCAAAGGCTGCAAATGAATCAACCAGTCGTATATGTACATATATACATAAGTATATATCCATTTTAGAGTCTAAACAGCTCTCTTATCAACATTGATAACAACTACACAAACGGGGAATGTGTATACCCCAATGATAATTACCCATGCACTACCTACAAGTAAAAAAAGAAACTAAAGTAAAACATTTGATATTTCGTTTTAACATGAAAAGGCTGACAGTCGAAATTCTAAACTCGGGAGCTCTTAGCTGACGCATATTTCTACTTAAAACCCAAAGTAAGAACACCGCTGATTGCATGGGACTGAAAGGGAATGATGGACGGGCAGATACAGTGTATTTTGCAATAGTATTCAATTCAGTTTATTTTCTTTCATAATATGGAAAATACATTTCAAAATTTATTTCATTATTGATTTACAATTTTTACATAGAAAACATCATTTATAAAGCTAAAGCTATTGCAATACAATCATAACCATATGTCCTCTAAATACAGGGTATACAAAAACAGGATATACATGTATAGAACAGGAAATATATTAGAATGAGTGCCGTTAAGTGCATTCCAGCGAAAAGTGGCCGACAGAAGCAGAAGGACTTAGGAACATGCTAAGTGGCACAGGCAGGATCAAATCACGCGACAAGCTGAGAATAACAGAACTTAAAAAAAAGAGAAAAATAAAGAAAAAGACAGTCCACTCTCGAGTGACGCGACGGCTGACTCTTGAGTGGCAGGTAAGGACTAGGAGGACGCCCACGTTTCAAGTCTCACTCTGAGCCGCTGTCTCAGGTTCGAGGCCGCCTAAGACAATACAAAAGTATCGAATTTCATAAGGATATATGATGTTATACATATTAGCGGATGCACACAAAAAAAAAGAGAGAGAGAGAGAGAGACAAGGAGCACAGAAAAGAAAGTTCCCATATGCAAGTCCTCAAACAATTTTTAGCTGGAAAAAATAATGAAATTATGAAAAACACTTGAGAAATAACAAGAGCAAGAAGAAGAAGAAGAAGCAGCAGCAGACGATGATGTAGTAGAGAAGTGTATCTAATTATTGAAGAGGGCGCACGCCCACTTAAGAGTGGTTCTTTGTGGCAGCCAGACGAAGTCCTCTCCTGGCTTTATCTTTATGTGCTTCAGGGGTTTTCAGTTCATGTGGCATTATCTATAGGGTCACAGAATCTGTGCACACAGACAGACGAGGGGACGGGGACGGGGACGGACGGACAGAGTATTGTTCTTGCCAGAGATTCTCTACGATTCTCACGTATGCAAAGCAGCCTCACTCTCTTTCTGTCTCTCTCACGCCTGCGGCAATCATAAATAATAATCAATTTCCTGTGTTGTACAAAAAACAAAAAAAAGCAACATTAACAAAATGTTTCCCATCGCTCCGCACTTAAGCGAGTGCCATATGCGATTGCAAGTTTTTCTTTTTTTGGATTTTCATCTCGTCTTCTTTTTTTTTTTTTTTGTTGGTGAGAAAATGCTATACAATGAAAATGAATGAAAAGCGAGTGGAGGGAGCCTCAGTTTTGTTTAAAATCTGTAAAATGTTTGCATATTGTTGTTTGTTATTTTCTTTTGTTATTGTGTTGTGTCTGAATTGGTTCGTAACATTCGCGTCCATTTGGCAGCACAGTTTGACAGCCATTGGCCATCGAGCTGTGCACCAATCAGCGTGCTCTCTCGCTGCTCGCGCTCTCTGTCGCTCACATGCTCAATTGATTGCGCTGCAGCTGTAGCTGAGCGAGGTTAAATGCTGACCCAATCAACGTGCCCCCCATTTGCTCCATGACGCATGCGTTGGCTGCCTTCGCTGTTGTTCTTGCTGCCGCTGTCGCTGTCGTTTGCTGCCGCTGCTGCTGCTGCCTCTGCAGTTTGTTTGGTTTATGAGTTGGCCAAATAATAATAATAATGCGGCAGCAACAGCAGCGTGCAGCTGTCGCCTTGCAATCTCAACGAGTTGCCCTTGCAGCTCAACCCTCTCTACCTCGCTCTCCCTCTCTCTCTCTCTCTAGCTCTTCCTTTTCTTTTTGGTTAAGCATTAAAGCGTCTGTCGCCACATTGCAGCCTGTCGC